CAATCAATACAGCACTATCCTCGCCAGCCCTTACTGCAGACGCCCTTGCTGCCTCCAAGATATATCTCTTCCTTCTCCCCGTACCTGGATCCACACGAGAGCGTATTGTTGGTTGTGTAGTAGCTCAGAGCATCGAGACAGCGATGAAAATTGTCGAGAAGAATACCCCTGCACTCGACAATCTGGTTCATGTTGATGGGAGTATTTATTGCGAGTGAGTAGAAAATGATTTCAATGGATCGATATCTAATGATTTTGAAAGTCCTGCTCCTTTACGTACACCTCTCGGAGTCTCGAGGATTTTCGTTACAAAGACGTATCGTCGCTCAGGTATCGCTCATGCGCTGCTCGATGCTGCAGCAAAGACCTTTATTCACGGTTGTCCATTGGATCCCCTCAAAGGTCATATCGCCTTTTCTCAACCTACAGGTGATGGGCAACGTTTAATGTCACAATGGGGGAAAGGATGTGTTCGAATATTTGACGAATGATCTTACAACATATAGACCTAGTGCCACCAGTCAAGTCATCTATCTATTGTTTGTTATCAGTGTCTACTTTATGAATGTACTTTCACCGGCGTAGCTCTCTCGCTACCTAAATAAGCAACTCTTATATCCTGTTTATGGAGTCCTGTGACTTGCAATGTGTATGGATGGCCTGGAATAACATCGATACAATTATCGCTCCACGCAACCTCATCCACACCATCTGCGACACTTAAAACTAGCCCTTTCACGGGCCGTTTACAGGTGATCATAAGACGGTCCACTTCCAGCGAAAAGCGCAATTCAGGATCATATGGTTCGATGAACTTGAATGGTTGTGGCCAGTCCACGTACTGCGAAAGCAGTCCTCCTTTGGTATCCCGTAAGATCGCGGCTACCACCACTGAGTAAGAAGGTGTGGGAACCAATTCATGGGCAGCCTGCTGATGCATATATTTGTGTGGGCACGACATGGAATGGGCGAGTTCGGTACTAGAATTCGGCGCCAGGCGTGCGCTTTGACGGGACTCGTATGTCCACTCTGAGTCCAGGTCAAACGCAAATATTTCCAAATTTACGTCTTGAGGCAATAGCGTCCCGTTTGTGGCCCAGATATCGAGAGTTGCATCGACTGACTGAAATGCCCCAAACTCGTAGAATGGTCGTGGCCGGTCATTCGCACGATTTTTTAGGACCTAAGCGTGGCATTGAGTCCTTATAGCTCTTCATTTCTCGGTGACTAACCTCTCTTTGTATACACACGGTAACCTCTCGTAGTTCACGCGCAATCGCATAATAAGCTGGTTTGGGACGGAGCTGGCAAACGCTCAGAAGAATTGGACGGTATAAGTGGGCTTGAGACCAACATAGTAGTCAATGATTGACCATGATGTCACGGGCCAACAGTCATTCAACTGCCATACCAGCACGCCGGAAGTCTAAGGGCTGATTATAAATGGGAAACCACGATAGGATATATCTAACCTCTTCACGACCATCTCCCTTCCATTTTCTTCTCCATACTCTATATGCATAGCCTAGGGCCTCGCTTTGCATAAGTTGAGTAAGATAGACATAGCTATGGGATGTTCAGTAGAGGTATTGAAATAACTAATATTTCACCTCTCTAGATCATTCGTCATTCGAAAATTCTCATTCATTAGAATGCCTAACCGCCTCTCGTAAGAGCCGGCTTTATTGTGTTGTTGCATCGCTCTAGACTGAGGGTGTCTGCCCTGGGCTGTCTCCTTGGTGTCAGTGGGGAAGAACTTTTCAACGGTGGCAAGATTTGGTATAGATGGAATCCCGAACTCGCTGCTCTTTTTCATGAGAGGTTAAAGGGAAGTCTAAGCGACAAAAACATTACCTGATGAAACGACCCCCCAATATGTCGAAATCCTGATAAGGGGCACAATTCCCTGCCCAAATATTCCATTGATGCTATTGATTCCGTAAAAAAAAGAGGGTTTAAAATCAAAGGGGACGGTTTATTCCTTACCACGTCGCCGATGAATGGACTGCTTGTGTCCCAACCTTCCCCTTTGCTTGTGGTATATACCCCGCACACGAAGAGTTTACCGACCTCGTGGAAAAGGAGGCACGCTGCAACCTTGAGCGGCTCAGACATCACCCTTCTCTCTTCCTTCTCTGTGGAAACAATGAAGACTATCAACAAGTCCTACAATGGGGTAAGAGGAGAAAGGCCATTGTCCTTCGTTTAGACTAACATGGATGGAAGACTGGAAAGGGGGGCTCCCCGCTGCGAAAATATACGAGAAAATACTTCCAAAATTGGTCGAAGAATCCATATTTCCATCCATTCCTTATGTATATGGCTCCCCGTATGGCGGGGAAGGTTGGGACACAAGCAGTCCATTCATCGGCGACGTGGTAAGGAATAAACCGTCCCCTTTGATTTTAAACCCTCTTTTTTTTACGGAATCAATAGCATCAATGGAATATTTGGGCAGGGAATTGTGCCCCTTATCAGGATTTCGACATATTGGGGGGTCGTTTCATCAGGTAATGTTTTTGTCGCTTAGACTTCCCTTTAACCTCTCATGAAAAAGAGCAGCGAGTTCGGGATTCCATCTATACCAAATCTTGCCACCGTTGAAAAGTTCTTCCCCACTGACACCAAGGAGACAGCCCAGGGCAGACACCCTCAGTCTAGAGCGATGCAACAACACAATAAAGCCGGCTCTTACGAGAGGCGGTTAGGCATTCTAATGAATGAGAATTTTCGAATGACGAATGATCTAGAGAGGTGAAATATTAGTTATTTCAATACCTCTACTGAACATCCCATAGCTATGTCTATCTTACTCAACTTATGCAAAGCGAGGCCCTAGGCTATGCATATAGAGTATGGAGAAGAAAATGGAAGGGAGATGGTCGTGAAGAGGTTAGATATATCCTATCGTGGTTTCCCATTTATAATCAGCCCTTAGACTTCCGGCGTGCTGGTATGGCAGTTGAATGACTGTTGGCCCGTGACATCATGGTCAATCATTGACTACTATGTTGGTCTCAAGCCCACTTATACCGTCCAATTCTTCTGAGCGTTTGCCAGCTCCGTCCCAAACCAGCTTATTATGCGATTGCGCGTGAACTACGAGAGGTTACCGTGTGTATACAAAGAGAGGTTAGTCACCGAGAAATGAAGAGCTATAAGGACTCAATGCCACGCTTAGGTCCTAAAAAATCGTGCGAATGACCGGCCACGACCATTCTACGAGTTTGGGGCATTTCAGTCAGTCGATGCAACTCTCGATATCTGGGCCACAAACGGGACGCTATTGCCTCAAGACGTAAATTTGGAAATATTTGCGTTTGACCTGGACTCAGAGTGGACATACGAGTCCCGTCAAAGCGCACGCCTGGCGCCGAATTCTAGTACCGAACTCGCCCATTCCATGTCGTGCCCACACAAATATATGCATCAGCAGGCTGCCCATGAATTGGTTCCCACACCTTCTTACTCAGTGGTGGTAGCCGCGATCTTACGGGATACCAAAGGAGGACTGCTTTCGCAGTACGTGGACTGGCCACAACCATTCAAGTTCATCGAACCATATGATCCTGAATTGCGCTTTTCGCTGGAAGTGGACCGTCTTATGATCACCTGTAAACGGCCCGTGAAAGGGCTAGTTTTAAGTGTCGCAGATGGTGTGGATGAGGTTGCGTGGAGCGATAATTGTATCGATGTTATTCCAGGCCATCCATACACATTGCAAGTCACAGGACTCCATAAACAGGATATAAGAGTTGCTTATTTAGGTAGCGAGAGAGCTACGCCGGTGAAAGTACATTCATAAAGTAGACACTGATAACAAACAATAGATAGATGACTTGACTGGTGGCACTAGGTCTATATGTTGTAAGATCATTCGTCAAATATTCGAACACATCCTTTCCCCCATTGTGACATTAAACGTTGCCCATCACCTGTAGGTTGAGAAAAGGCGATATGACCTTTGAGGGGATCCAATGGACAACCGTGAATAAAGGTCTTTGCTGCAGCATCGAGCAGCGCATGAGCGATACCTGAGCGACGATACGTCTTTGTAACGAAAATCCTCGAGACTCCGAGAGGTGTACGTAAAGGAGCAGGACTTTCAAAATCATTAGATATCGATCCATTGAAATCATTTTCTACTCACTCGCAATAAATACTCCCATCAACATGAACCAGATTGTCGAGTGCAGGGGTATTCTTCTCGACAATTTTCATCGCTGTCTCGATGCTCTGAGCTACTACACAACCAACAATACGCTCTCGTGTGGATCCAGGTACGGGGAGAAGGAAGAGATATATCTTGGAGGCAGCAAGGGCGTCTGCAGTAAGGGCTGGCGAGGATAGTGCTGTATTGATTG